TACTTATTACAATCGCGGAAATGTTGTTCTTGGTTGGTCTCTGAATTACGTATCTATCATTTAAAGATGATCCGTTTGACTTGGAAAAAGATTTCTTGACAATCCTTCCGAAAGCGCCTGTTTAGTTTCCAGTAGACGAAAAGATTGATTATAGAGTTAATCTCATAGAGACGAAAGAAGATGGCGTAAACGGTGTGATGTAGATTGGACCGGTTCATGAAGGCTCGTCTTGTCTCAATGGGAACGTACCGACCAAGAAACGATGGTAATAGACTGACAACAAAGATGACAGTTACACAGCCTAGCATTAGTGTTAGTCTCTTTTCTGCTTGTCGGTTGGTGTTGATAGCGTTAGGCTCGGCGGGCCGCGTTCTAGATAGCGGCGCGGCGGTTAGAACGGTTGCTGTCGCCGTATGGAGAGCGTCAAGAATATTTCCCGATTCCTGACGTTGCATCGGTTTGGTCTCGTCGTGGACTGATTTTGGGGACTCTAAGGCAACTGTCGCAGCTGTTCGACTCTCTTCCTCTGCTTTAGATTCACCCTGCAGGTGCTTAGGGTGCACGCCTGTGTTGGTGAAGCCATTTTGGATACCAGACGCACCTGTTTGGTCCTCGGTCACACCCCCCTCATCTACAAGCAGGTTGCTATTACCACTCTGATCGGATACATTGTCAGTTGATAACGTAAAGGCCGTGTTACCATCCCTGTTAAGAACAGTAGAGCGATCACCTGGCCCGATGTGTGCAGCTGTGGCAGAAGCCGGGTTTTTAATGAGCAAGGCTCGCACTTTGGACTGGCGACGCAACACGTTGATGACGCGACAGTATAACAAGGACGTTGTAGAGAGACAGGTTATGGTATACCCCTGTAGGATGTATTTGTCATACTGAGTAAACCAATTAATATCCCACCTAAACAGGCAGTCTTTGATGAAGTCGTCATACTGTGTCACCGCAATTAAAGGTGCAATGATTAAAAACACCAGCAGATTGGCGAACATGACAATGAAGACGGCTCGACGCACTGTTGGGCGGCGGTGGACGGGGAAACACACCGCTAAGTACCGGTCAATGCTAATAACAACCGTCATCATCATTTGAGAAGCTAACAAACATGTTTCCAAGTACCATTTGAATTTGCAATACAGGTTATTTGCTACCCATACTTTAACTTTAAGTAGGCATATTGCCGAGGTCATCAAATCGGCAATTGCTAGCGCCATTATGAAGATGTCCGTCCCAATTTTCTTTTTCTTTTTCGAGTAGCCGGCCAAAATAACAATATTGCTCGGCAATCCGATAGTGAATATGATTGCGTATACAGCAATGAAGACACTGCGAATGATAGCCATACTTTGACACACGGATCCGTTGGTTAGTGATCGGTTCCAACTGCAATGTGTTACGAAGTAGATATCCTAGAAATACTTTAGCGACTTTCATTCTGCGTCTTCATTTATAGACTGAAAACAAATGACGTAGATATTTTCAATCCGGAAGGATTTGTCTCCCTTCCGCATCGATGGTAGCTATTACCGTACTCTTCCATTTCTTTGTTTTCTTTTAAGTTCGATAAACCCCTTATTTGGTTATATGTACTTTCTTAATAAGTTTATCAGCCGTTTTAAGTACTTCAGACGTACTACCATTTTATTGATAAAATGAATTTCAGCGAAATAATGAATCACGCCATTTTTATATTTGAGGCTGTATAGTGAAGAATAATACAAATTTTAAAAGAAAAGGATTGGTATTTGTTATAGCCTGGCCAACCGCAAGACTCCATAAAGAAAATGCATTAGTTTCATTCTATTTGGGGGTATTGTATGATATTAATCTATGTCATGTGCATGACGTGATTTTACTGTGGTTGTAGATTTAAATATTGCGACTTAGAGATTCTTTATTCAAAATATATTAATAAAGTTGTAACCATTAACAATGAAAGCTTGACTATAGAAAAGAAGATTGCTGCATATCGATAAACATGTGTGACATGTCGAAGTCACTTTAAATCTTAGTCCATATAAATTGTATAACTTTATTTTATGTTTTCTTGTGTTTACTATAAATATGACAATGTTAATTCCTGGAGTTTTGCCATGTGCCAATTTTGTTTACAATAAAAACCGATATTGAATTGAATTGAATTGGTTTGAGATAAAACTTCAGAAACAATTGCGTAGCCACGAAGGTAAACGGGACACGTACCACGCCCGGATAACTCCAAACCGACTCCAAGCCGACTTGACACCCACCAATGTTTTGTTTGGTCTGTTGTCGGTCTGATGTCGGTCTGTCGGTGTGATATAAGCCTCGGTCACAAATTCCATTACGAACTGCTGCTACGTACGCCGTACGAACGATTTTTAGACGATGGAAATTTGGGAAGACAATGGGAAAACAGGGAGATTCGTACGAAATTATCGTTTGTACGAACCTTTGTGACCGTAGCTTAACCGAAATAACCTAAACCGTTGAGACATGACTAACAAACAAACTAACAAAACCACATGACTAAACAAAATTGGATCACTACAATCGGTCAAAGTATTTCTCGAATAAATGGCTCTATCGGGTAAAAGAGAGTGTTTATTGTGTCATCTTTACATCAAACAAGACTAAGATCTCATCACAACAATATGATACCCCAAAAATACAAGACAAACAACGCAAAATGAAGACTAAATCAGATAATTCATTAAGTGGTGAACCGTGGCGGTTTCTATTTATGATGACGTAAAGTGTATAATGCTTCATACTTCAATATCTTATAATCACTCAGATCTTCAAGACTTATGCTACGTTTACACTATGTTCCCAGCGGCCACGACAGCCCCGTTTGCCCGAAACGTAGTGCGCCGTGGGATTTTGGCCATCTTTTCTCTGTATTCAAGTTTTGTTAGGTCTTGCCAAGTTTCTAACGGTCTATCACGGTATCCGTGACGGTCCGTGGGAGAGAAAGGGGCTGCTGTCCCGGAGGCTGCAAGGCTCGCCAAGGTTCAACCCGCGGTCTACCACGGATGCCAATACGTTCCCTCCCGGCCCGTCGCGTTCCGATTGGGTCCCTCACGTTTCTCACTTTCTGATCAAGATCTGACACGTTTTCCTAGTTCTGTCAAAGCTTTCTTAGGATGAAACGTGGCCGCCGGATAGCTTTGGAGCACGTTTGTGCCCAAGGTATAAACAGAAGGCATCCCAAGCAATAGCAACTATTGAATCCTGAGACCGCACGCGCCGTGTCAGACCGTAGTAGAACGCAACGCGCCGGGCCCGTAAACCGTCACGCTACGGACCGCCTCCAAGTTTTGTTATACGTACTATTACGTATTGTCACGTTTTATTGCGTTCACCCCGTTTTAATACGGCCTACTTGGTTTTTCAACCGCACCGTGACTGCCGTGCCAATTTTGTGAAAGTTTAGCAATCTGGCACGGCATCCACGGCAATCACGGCCTATCACGTTTGCCCATTCCGTCCCCCGCGTTGTCTCACGTCCATCCCGTTTTGTCCACGGTGACCTGAAACGTGATTGCCGTGGCCGCCGGGAACATACTGTAAACGTAGCATAAGCGTATTACCTTTGTTGGACGCAGTTGCTATTCATTTTCACGTGAACAGGAAACCGCAGCGGTTTTTTTTTTAATTATTATTATTGTTACAGCACCATATCTAAACGAGCCTTTAAGATCACAAATGACTACATGTTAATGCTACACTTTAATATATGAATAGAAGTCTATTAATTTTGAACACAGAGAAAGAATACTGATTGCATGCGGCTGCTCATACAATGTTAGTGAAAAGTGAAAGTGCTTTTACATCTCTATCACGTGTTTTAAATTGTTTTACAAACATCCCATCCCCATCTCTTACTTTCACAAATAACTTAATTCCATTTTAAAAAAAAGTGATTTCTTAATTAAAATCGCTAACCAATAATAAGACAAAATTATTTGAAGGAAATTGTCAACATGTATCAATAATAGGAAGCCAACATTACGCTCTTTCAGTGCCCATATATGCTTTTTTTTCTACCGTGTACCCGTATATATAACATTGGAGACTGGCAAATGTAGATCAATCTGATTCCAAAGGAAATTATGATAAAGAAAACTAGGAAAATCAAATAGTAAAGTAACTATAAACACACAAAAATGATCTGGCAGCAAAGCTAAGAACATGAAGTTAGTGTTATTTGACGTTTTAGCTTATAACGATGTTTAAAACGTGTGATGGAAAATAAAAACTACAATCACGCTAATCATAGTTTACCAAATTCAACACACAATTTAGAGCAATGATTTTCTTTTTGACACGAAGTTACTACAAACATTAAAGACATCCATGTGCTGACAAGAACTAATATTTCTGTAAAGATTGGCCTTACAATGGCATTAATACGCTAAGGTAATTTTTATTTAGTAATTTAGTGCTGGTTTGATATCGCTCATAAATATTTAGCTATTGATACATGTACATATTCAACTTTTATACTACGATAAATACAACATAGGAAAACCAGTGGTGACTTGTTATGCCACAAAATGTTTTATGCCATTTCATTGGCCTAACTAGTATAACTGGTCAGTCAAACCATAAACAAGCTTAAGTCTGGTTTAATACTGCCTATCTAAGAAACCCAAATTTGATAGGCAAAAACATGATAAAGATGAGTTGAAAGAAGGGATAAAGAGATGAATATGTGAGATAGATGAAGAAAGAGGACAGAGGGAGCGAGGGAGAGAAAGAGAGGGAGAGAGAGAGAGAGGGGGGAGAGAGAGGGAGAGAGAGAGGCCAAAAAAGGGGGATTGAGGGAAGGAGGGTAAGGGACGCACGGAAAAATTCGGAAGAGAAAAAAGATCCTCACAAATTTCCATGCAACTTTGAAGCAATGAAATTTTGATACCTATTTCAAATTTGCGAGATAAATGAATGTTGGTGTACTTATTACAATTGCGAAAATGTTGTTCTTGGTTGGTCTCTGAACTACGTATCTATCATTCAAAGATGATCCCTTTGACTTGGACAAAGATTTCTTGACAATCCTTCCGAAAGCGCCTGTTTAGTTTCCAGTAGACGAAAAGATTGATTATAGAGTTAATCTCATAGAGACGAAAGAAGATAGCGTAAACGGTGTGATGTAGATTAGACCGGTTCATGAAGGCTCGTCTTGTCTCAATGGGAACGTACCGACCAAGGAGCAATGGTAATAGACTGACAACAAAGATGACAGTTACACAGCCTAGCATTAGTGTTAGTCTCTTTTCTGCTTGTCGGTTGGTGTTGATAGTGTGAGGTTCGGCGGGCCGCGTTCTGGCTAGCGGCACGGCGGTTAGAACGGTTGCTGTCGCCGTATCGAGAGCGTCAGGAATATTTCCCGATTCCTGACGTTGCATCGGTTTGGTCTCGTCATGGACTGATTTTTGGGACTCTAAGGCAACTGTCGCAGCTGTTTGACTCTCTTCCTCTGCTTTAGATTCACCCTGCAGGTGCTTAGGGTGCACGCCTATGTTGCTGAAGCCATTTTGGATACCAGATACACCTGTTTGGTCCTCGGTCACACCCCCCTCATCTATAAGCATGTTGCTATTACCACTCTGATCGGATACATTGTCAGTTGATAACGCAAAGGCCGTGTTACCATCCCTGTTAAGAACATTACAGCGATCACCTGGCCCGTTGTGTGCAGCTGTGGCAGAAGCCGGGTTTTTAATGAGCAAGGCTCGCACTTTGGACTGGCGACGCAACGCGTAGATGACGCGACAGTATAACAAGGACGTTGTAGAGAGACAGGTTATGGCATACCCCTGTAGGATGTATTTGTCATACTGAGTAAACCAATTAATATCCCACCTATACAGGCAGTCTTTGATGAAGTCGTCATAGTGTGTCACCGTAATAGAAGGTGCAACGAGTAAAAACACCAGCAGATTAGCGAACATGACAATGATGACGGCTCGACGGACTGTTGGGCGGCGGTGGACGGGGAAACACACCGCTAAGTACCGGTCAATGCTAATAACAACCGTCATCATCATTTGAGAAGCTAACAAACTTGTTTCCAAGTACCATTTGAATTTGCAATACAGGTTATTTGCTACCCATACTTTAACTTTAAGTAGGCATATTGCCGAGGTCATCAAATCGGCAATTGCTAGCGCCATTATGAAGATGTCCGTCCCAATTTTCTTTTTCTTTTTCGAGTAGCCGGCCAAAATAACAATATTGCTCGGCAATCCGATAGTGAATATGATTGCGTAGAAAGCCAAGAAGACGCTGCGAATGATAGCCATACTTTGACAAATGGATCCGTTGGTTGGTGATTGGTTCCAACTGCAATGTTTTGCAAAGTAGAAGTCCGATAAATACTTTAAGAGCATCATTCTGCGTCTTCATTTATAGGCTAAAAACAAATGACGTAGATATTTTAAATCAGGAGGGATTTGTCTCCCGTCTGCAACGTTATTTTTTTTCTACTTAGAGAGGATTAATTTCACATTCAAATCTGACAAATCAATAGAAAGTTAAGCATGCACGAATAACAAACAAGTTATTTTAATATCTACAACATCAAATTTATAAGTAAGCTTCAAGAATCCCTTTTAGGCTTTTTAAGTCATCCTTTTGTTTGTTTGTTTGTATGCTTCCCTTTCGTACTATAATCATTGTATTTCTAATATTTTCTGATCTCTCTCTAACAAATTATATGATTCCATGTGGAATCGCTTTTATTTTTATATACTTTTTCCACATTTGTTAAGTTTCAAAATAACGTTATGTCCACTCCAGAATAATATGATCGGAAATGGTTTGCAATGCCACTCTGGAGCACCCCGGGCATCCCGAGTCATGGATGTGAACACTTTACATTGACGTTTATAGAATTGATTATGACTGGTCAGCTGAGAATAAGGAAAGAAACAGAGGGTTAAGATGATGTAATCAGGGGAGGATCCATGATTTTCCAAAAGAGAGGGGGGGGCGTGAAATGTACGAAATTGCGAGCGCAAAGCATAGGGTACGGGAAAATTTTGAACTTTAAAATGTTATACATTCTGAGGCATTTCTGAATGCGTAAATTGAACATTTATTTGAATATTTCTCATTTTTTGTCCTGCTATTTTTTATTCGGAAGGGAAAAAGGGAACGTTCTCCCCCACACATTCCCTGGATCTGCCCCTGGTAACGTTATTATGATTATACTCTTCAAGCAAAGAAAATTACAAAGTTAATGACTTTGTGAAACCATCTTACAAGTACAATAAAAAGAAATTTGATTCTTACGAACTTATACAGATCATGTGTTACATTAAGCTCAAACAATGACAAATTAATACCTCCCCTAGGTATTTTATTATTCTCAGAAGTACCTGGAAAAATGATTACTTTATCCTTCTTAAAGATAAAGTTAAGTAACCTAAAACTTTGAAAGCTATTACTGTACTTTAAATTTCTTTGTGTTCTTGTAATCTCGATAAACCCTTTTTTTGTTGGTTAGACGTACTTACTTTAAATAAGTGCATAAGCCTTTCCAAGTACGTCAACCGTACTACCATTTTATTGATAAAATGAATTTGAGCGAAATAATGGATGACGCCATCATTATGTTTGAGGCTGTATAGAAAAGAATTATGCCCATTCAGCTACAAATTTTAAAAGAAAAGGATTAGTATTTATTTTAGCCTGGACTACCGCAAGACATCATAAAGAAGATGCATTAAATTCATTCTATTTGGGGGTTATTTTATGACTGTAATATTAATCTATGTCATGTGCATAATGCGATTTTACTGCAATGTAGTTTTGAACATTGGGACTTAGAGATTCTTTATTCAAAGTGTACTAAAAAAGTTAAAATCTTTAACAATAAAAGCTTAAATATTAAAAACCATTGTCGCTGTATATCGATAAACATGTTTAACGTGTCGAAGTCTCTCTAAATATAAGTCAATGTACAGTTTATAACCTTATTTCATGTTTTCTTGTATTTTTACTGTAAACATGACAATGTTAGTTCTTGGAGTTCTGCCATTATGTTCAGTTTTGTATGTACAATGAAATCAATATTTAATTTAATTTAATTTAATTTAATTTAATTTAATTGAGAGAAAACGTCAGACACATTGGCGATTCCAAGCCGACTTGAAACCCATCAATGTTTGTTAGGTCTGTTGTCGGTCTGCTGTCGGTCTCGTCGGTCTGCTGTCGGTCTGTTGTCGGTCTGCTGTCGGTCTTGTCGGTCTTGTCGGTCTTTACGATCAGGTAGAGTGAAGCGTAAATTGGCGTGGGCTCTAGGGGCAAAGCCCTAGCGGGGGTCAAGGGCGGAGCCCCCGGAAGCTCAGGGGTTTTAGGCATTTAATTACGTTTAGATGAGCATATTTTTGACACCTTATTAGTGAAACTGGCAGGTCACTAATAATTGTAGGGTTCAGGGGGCTGAGCCTCAAATCAAATTAAGGTAAGATGAGCATTCAGGGGCCCACCCTGGATCCCTTGGTGGGGTCCAGAGCCCCCGGAAGCTGGGGGGGGGGTTAGGGGGAGGGGGAGCTCGAGCCCTCGAGCCCTGCCGTTCCGTTGGCCCTGACATGTAGACTTCTTAATAAGCATATGTTTTGCCTGACTGTAAATTTGGGAATTTTTCATTGTCCAACAAACGCAAAAAGACGTATAATTTACACAAAGGTGACATTTGTAAATCACGGGTATCGAATTAGAAATAAAACAAGTTTGAGTTTTATTTGGGGGAGGCAAATGCCCCCCCCCCCCCCCCGCCACATCAGTACGCTAGTGGGTATCACGGTGATACCTACGGAATAAAGATTTTGGACAATATTTACTTGTGCATTGTAAAGGATATTTTGCGAGGGAGCGTAGCGACCGAGCTAGAAGATTTTTGTATTTTATTAGTCTAAACGCTGCACTCTTGGGCCCTCCAGAGCCTAAAAGTGTGTTTGCAGTCTTTAGTTAGTATTCGCAATACATCTACTTTATGCACTTTTTCAAATTTCAGGGGGGGGACGATCCCCCCCTAAAAAAAATTGAGGGGGGACGTGTCCCCCCCCCCCCGTCCCCCCCCCCCCCCCGGGATCGCCGCCCCTGATTGCCTGGCAATCCGATAATGAATTCGATTTCCTAGAAAGCAAAAAAGACACTGCGAATGATAGCCATACTTTGACAAATGAATCCACTGGTCAGTGATCGTTTCTAACCGCAGTATGTTGCAAAGTAGAAGTCCGAGAAATACTTTAAAGAGTTTCATTCTGTGCCTTCACTTATAGGCTGAAAACCAATGACGTAGATGTTTTCAATTTGACCCCCGTTCGTATCGATTTTTTTCTCATAATAGAGAGGATTAATTTCACATTCAAATCTGACAAATCAATAGAAAGTTAAGCATGCACGAATAACGCAAAAGTTAACTACAACATCAAATTTAATTTACACATATCTGTCATTTTTTCAAGTAAGCTTCAAGAATCCCTTTTTAAGTCATCCATTCATTTTGTTTGTATGCTTCCCATTCTGCTTCTAATCAGGTTTTTCTAATTTTTTTGCTGATTTCTCTACCAAACATCATGGTTTTATGCGGAATCCCTTTTTCATATACTTTTTTTGAGATTCAAAACTTTTAGCGTTATATCCACTCCAGAATAATAAGATCGGAAATGGTTTTCACCCAGGCATCTTGAGTCATGGATTTAATCACTATACATTGACTATACTGTTTTCGTAAGAGAAAAGGGGGTAAGTGTGCGCCCCCACGTACCCCCTGGATTAGCCCCTGGTATCACTGTCACGATTCTCTTCATCACGCAAAGAAAATTACAAAATGAATGACTTTATGGAACCATCTTAGAAGTACAATAAAAAGAAATTCTAACCAACTTATACAGAGCATGTGTTACATTAAGCTCAAACAATGAAAAATGAATACCTCCCTTATCTCTTTTATCATTCTCAGAAGTACCTAAAGAAAACATTACTATATCTTTCTTAAAGATGAGGTAAAGTTACCTAAACAAAGAGAGCCATTGCCGTACTCTTTCATTTCTTTGTGTTCTTATAAGTTCGATAAACCTTTTTTTCGTTGGTTAGACAGTGCGTCCCAGAAAAACACGAAACCAAGAATGATCGATGTTTTATCATAACTTAATCACAATTATAATTAATAAATGACACATATTTGAAGAAAGGAAAACAAAATTTCATTTGGCGGGCGGTATCTGAATTTTAAAGGGAAAATCACATTTCTAGAAGTTTATTTTCTGCCCTTGCATATGACACCTCAATCAGGAAAAATGAGCTAGGAATAACAAAGTTCTGTTTGTTTAAAGTAATGCTTGCATTCACTGGCTGCCTGCCGTAGTAACAAACAGAGTTGACAAAAGACTTAACTCCGTTTCGTTGAAGATCAGCCATGCATCAAGTCTTTCGTCATCAAATTGCTTTTAATCACTCATGCGTGAAATATGCATCATAATTATGAGTCATCATATGAGTTGCATCAAATGAAAGAGGAGGATCTAAGCTTCATAAATATGTGTCCGATTTATTAATTCTAATTGTGGTTAAGTTAATGATAAAACATCGATAATTTTCGGTTTCGTTTTTTTTCTGGGACGCACTGTATGTACTTTTTGATAAGTGCATCAGCCATTCTAAGTACTTCAACCGTACTTCCATTTTATTGAAATAATGAATGACGCCATCATTATATTTGAGGCTGTATAGAGAAGAATAATGCCCATTCAAATACCGATTTTAAAAGAAAAGGATTAGTATTTCGCATACTATATTGTAGCTTTAATAATATGGAATCGTGCGATAGCCTGGCCAACCGCAAGACTCCATACAGAAAAGCTGCCTGGCCTACCGCAAGAATCCATAAAAAAACTGCATTAGTATCATTCTATTTTGGGGGTATTGTATAAATATAATTTTAATCTATGTAATGTGCATGATGCAATTTTACTGTAATCGGAGATTTAAACATTTCGACTTATTCTTTATTCAAAATGTATTAACAAAGTTT